GCCGAGGCAAGGAGGGTCTATGCACCATCCAGGGGCCCAGGATGGCCCTGGCCTGACACGGTGGTGGTGTATAGATGCCTTCGTCGGATTCAGGAGACATGATTTGCGGGCGGCCTTCCGACGTCGCCCCCGCCTGCGAGCGCGCTCTCGGCCGCGGCAATGCCGCGCGGCACCCCGGTGGAATCGCCGTCCGCGGCGGGCCCCCCGCGCTTCCTGGAAGAGCGGGGCGGCGGCGATCCTGTCGAGCGCCGAGCAACGCGCGCCCGCAACGGCTGCGCCTGGTCGGCGAAAGAAGCCGGCGGTTGCCAGCGTCTGGGGGACAGGCGCGCGCGGCAGACGGGCGACGGCCCGCGCGCGCCGAGATCTCGGCCCGCGGCGCGCGGTTGTTCCGCGCCCGCGGCCGGCGCCTCGCGCCGCGCCCTCAGCGACGCAGCGGCGCGGCCGCGCGCCCGCGCGAGGCGGCGCGCGCGCAGTGCGAAGGAAACGCTGCTCTGGGGAAGCTCGCGGGAAGCGTTTCGCCGCCGTCGCGCGCGCGGGCCGCGGGCGCGCCGGCCGCGGGGCGGCCGCGAGACGACGGCCACCGCCCCCCCCGCAGGAGGGCATTTATATTGAAGGGCGGTCTGCAATCGGCGGGGACAGCGCGGCCCTGCGGCGACGCCGCCTCGGGGGGTGCCGGGGGGGGCGTCGAACGCCCCGGGTGGCCACGTGGAGGCTGGGCGCCCGCGAATGCCGCGCGGCTGCCCGCGCGCCACTTCGGCGTTGCCTCGCTGCCATTGTCGCCCCGCGCCCGTCCATCAAGCGGCGCCCAGGCGTTGCAGAGGACACCCCTAGACATAGAATCCGCGCTGCTCATGCATCAACATAGCATCGCATCGTAACCGAAAATGTCTCGGTCGTGCGCTGTCGCTGCCGTCCGCCAGGCGCGCCCTGGACAGCCCCGTCGACATCGCCCTGTCATCTCGAGGTTGCCGCCAAGACGCGGACATCACCTTGCATCTGCGTTGCGCGGGCACGACTTCCCCATTACATCACCTACACACCAAGTAGACGCTGGCGGGGCGTTGCGCACGCGTGACGCCGACATCATCCGCGCACGACAGAAGCGCCACCCATGCGCGGCAACTGCGATACACAGGCATTACGCACACAGTAGAACGCGTCCTACGCAACACGCGCCCATTACATTGAAACTGCTAGGCGTGTACCTACGTGTAGCGCATATAGATGTGTGTAGATTACGCTGTGCGTGCTGATTTCCGTGACATTGCCCAGGCACTACCTGGGCGCTGACCAGGCAGACGACGCTTGGCAACAAGTGTCTAATGTCGCTGAACAATGCCCATGTGTTGACCATTCAGATTCCTGGCGCTGCGAGAATGAAGACGCGACTAAAGCCTGACCTCGTGTTATCTGGGTATCGACTGTCCACATACGTCACCTCTACGCTCCCGTTTAAATTTTCGACGTTGTCCATGCACTGCTCAAGCACTACCCACTCGATCCCCATACGCCACTTATACATTACACACATGTCAACGGAACAATGCGTGCACAGGCCTGACGCGCCAAATTTGACCTGTTCGGCTATCGGGTACGAATTTCGGTCGCACCGCAAAACACTTATTAACACATCGTCCAAACGCGCCCCGTCAACAGCCTACATTGCACACCCTAGTCGCCGACATGTTGCCTTGCATGTTTTGGCACAGTATAGGTTTCTGTTTACTACCGAAGAGAGCTCCAAACAACTCCCCCGCCCGTCCAGGGCGAAGGGAAGTGTAGGGAGTCGTACTAAGAATACACGGTGGGCAGGTGGGCCGCTTGGCGTCGCCGTATCGGCGACTACAATGGGTGCGGTTTGCGAAGAGTGCGGTCTGCCTCCCGTCATATCTGCCCCTCCCGCCCCCGGGAAACGGATGGCACTGTCATTTCATGCGGCCGAATCACATGACATGCTCGCTCCTTCTCATACAGTGGAGCACGCGTCGAGGCCGACAATGTCGATCGAAACGACGACAATTACGACATTGTCTCTCGCAAACGGCGCCAGAAAAAAAAGGCCGGCACAAAACAACTCGCAAACCGCACCTTGGCGTCGCCGCGCCAATTGCAGGCGCCGGCCGTAGTCGTCATTTCCATTGTGAATTATCTTCGTGCCGGGCAAACGGGAAGATGACTGCACGGTTACTTCGGTGACGCCATCATGTTACCGTTGAAACGTTTTCAGCGAGACTTCGCACGGTGACACATTGTCGTGGCGAGCATGGGAGGCGCTATGGCGAACACCACACTTTGAAAAGGAGCCGCTCTCCATCCGCGAAGCTGCTGAAACTTTTCAATCGAACGTGCACGGCGCAATGGCGAGGACCACATGTTGAAAAACACCCGACCTCCGGCCGTGGTCACGCTGCGAACTTGTAATGCAAATGTGCGCGGGGGTGGGGCGAGAACCGCACTTTGAAACCATCCGCCCTCCAGCCGCGAAACTGTTGCAAACTTTGACAACGAATGTGCGCGGCGCTGGGGCGGGCACCATATGTTGAAAACCACCCGCCCTCCATGCGTGAAACTGCTGCAAATGTCAAGCCTCAAAATGCTTACTGGCAAAAGAATCCGACGCCGAACGCTCGGCCCACCCTGCCGACACGTCGTTTGGGAGTGCGACAGGAAGGAGGAAGGCGATGACACCTTGAGGAGGTGGAGGGGGAAAATGCGTGCGATGGGGGGGATGAGGAAGAGCAGGAGAAGGAGCGGGACATCGTGAGGTGATCCAGGAACACTTGCTTCAAACGCGTCGGCATGCTGACGGGCGAAAATGCGGCCATCGCCTTGCAAGCTCGGTTGTTGGCATATTTTATGCTACCGCCCCGAGCCTCGACATCTTAACCGAGATGCGGACAGGCGGTCACGACAGATGCCTTCGCATCTGACTCCGACACGGTAACACTGGGCCGACTTGCGGATTCCAAAGTGTGCCAACTAATACCCCACATTGCCTCATGAGACCGGCAGGTCTCATTCGCAGGTCTCATTCTTTTTTGGTCTCAAACGTCAACAGCCATGCAGTGCTCAGTGAACACGTTGATGAGAGAGGTGAACAAAACATGGACAGCGCGCAACATAGCTCTGGGGGGACGCCTAGTAGGAAGACGTACCCAAATCGACAACAAACGCGACTTCAATAATTTCCTCATCATCACCCTGTCGGTGACCTGGCGCCCACCACGGAAACTAGATAGCGATGCCGTTACGTAAATAGCGGGAGCGATGAATAGAGAGATCGGTAGGTGGACTGTGAAGTCGATATATAGATCGCGAGATCAATACGCAGGTAGTGAGGGTGGTATGTACATAATGCCCTTGGCAAATATGTGGTGGGATCGGTGGAAAAGCGAGGCCGGGTGATACATATATATATATATATAAACACAAGTGGCACGTGCGTGTGTGCCCAGGTTCATGCAAACAAATGAAAGGGCGTTTGAAGCAGGCGAAGAGGAGGATAGCTGCTGGGAGTGAAATGCAATAGCCAGGTCGCACTCGAGCGCAAGTGGGGTTGCCACACCTTGCGATGTGTGTATCAGGGCCCCCCAGGAAGCCTCAGGAGGCCCAACTTGGATACCAGAAGAGGCTCCAGGAGGCCTCAGGATTGTGAGTGATGTTTGTCTAGCGTGTGATGTATTGGGTGTGATTTGTGTATCTGTGTGTACATGTAGTTCTGAGGCCCCAAGAGGCAGGCGGCCTCAGGAGGCCCCAGGAGACCCCACGAGGCTCCAGGAGGCCCCAAGAGGCTCCAGGAGGCCGCAGGAGGCCGCAGGAGGCCCCAGGCGGTTCCAGGAGACCCCAGGAGGCTCCGAGGCGGGGTCTGGGAGGCCCCAGGTTCCAGGAGGCCCCCAGGAGGCTCCGAGGCCGGGTCTGGGGTACCAGAAGCTACGTCGGGGCTCGATTTTGGGGGGCATGTCTCAGGCGAAACCGCCATTCTCTGAGAATCGGAATCAAAAGCATTGAAATTGCAATCTGTTTTTGAAGATTTGATGTTAAATGATGAAATTTGTATGTGCTTTTGGACCCTGACGTCACGATCTGTGTGAGGGTGGCCACCGATTTTCAGAATGTCGAGGATGTCCCTAGCGAAACTGCCAGAACAATCGCGAACGACGTGGCGCGTACACATTAATCGCCTCTGAGCTCTACTCCCTCGGAGAGGTGCGTATGATATTATATATATGGATGTATGTATATCTCTCTCTATATATAAACATATATGTGTATGTATATATACACCGAATCCGACGTAAATCGCAAGTCGGCAGCTGCGCCCATCCCCAACATCCTCCTTATCACCCGAAGGATGGTGAATGAGGTGGCGCATGCAGTGTGCCTGTCATGCCTGCGTGCACCTTCCCCCGTGGATTGTCGAGAGGGGGAGCCGCCTCCTCCGAGAGAGGCCTTGCGACTGATTCGAACCTCCACCGCGCGAACTTCTGGGATCGTCCTGGAAAAAAATAGGGATGCAGCGTTGCGTGATGGACGTCACGCCCCCCCCCGCCCCCGCCCCCCACCCCACGAGCTCCGCGCTGCGAGCCATGAGACGCAGCCCCCCTTCCTCTCCTCAGCCTCCCCCCCTTCCACCTCTTCCCTCCCCTTTGCCCTCCCCTCGTTCACTCTTCCCTCGTACCCTCCGCCCTCTTCCACTCACTCCTCGCCCCCCGTCCCTCGTCCCCGTCCTCTGCCATCGTCCCCCCTCCCCTCGTCCCCTCATCCCCCCTCCCCTCGCTCCCTCCGTCCTCGTCCCCGCTCCCCTCGTCCCCTCTCCCCTCCTCGTCCCTCGCCCCCGGCCCCGTCCTCGTACCTCGTCCCCTCCCCTCGCCCCTCGGCCCTCGCCCCCTCCGTTCTCCCCGCCCCTCCCCCCGCCCCCCGCGCCTCCCGAGCAGGCGCAGGGGCAGGGCGGGCCCCCCGCCGACCCCCGTGGGGCGGCGGCAGCCCGGGTGGCCGCGGGCCTGGACCCGCTGGATCATCTCGAGGAAGGCTCGCAGGTCCTGGGCCGGTCGGCGGAGGGGCCGGTCCGGAACGGCCTGGTATAACGGCCCGCAACGGCAGGGGCAGGGCTCGACCTGCCGCAGGAGCTCGACCACAGGAGGCCTCCTACAGGAAGTGCAGCCCCGAGGCACCAGGACCTCCCATGAGGTGTGGCGTGGGGGCGTCACGCTTTTTCCGTAGCAGCGCCGTGGAACCCCAGAGGGACCCAGGGCACCCTGGAGGCAAGTGAGGTGTTTCTTGCCATGGGTTTCCACTGCGTCGCCCCCCGCTGCGCGTCCTCCGGGAGGTGGGCGGCTGCGCGCGCCCCGGCTGGGCCGCACAGGCCATCGGGGCCGCGGCCCACTTCACTCAGGACTCTCTCTGGGAGGGCTCGACCCACACGGTGTTTGCCGTTTTCGTTTTCCGCTTTCATTATGTGCTCGTTTCCCCTCGTGCTGTCCTCGCTCCGCCCTCGCTGCGAGACGACATCCGAAGGGAAAACGGCCCACGGAGTGGCCAAAACACCGTCTGGGTCGACCTCTGGGATGGGGTGGTCGGGCCGGGCGAAAAGGAGGGATAGCCAAGGGGGGGGGTGAGAAAAGGCTCGCGTGGCTGATTTTGCCGGCGCCTCCCGGCGCCGAAGGCGGCCATGTATCGAGGAATGGGCCCCTCGGTTGGGGCCGAAACCAGCTGCAAGCAGCAGATTTCGTACCCCCCCCCCTTTAGCCCTTTCCCAATCCCCCCCTTTCGTCCGGCCTGAAGTGGGGGCGGGGCAAGGGCCTGCACTAGGGAGGGCGGGGGGGGCGAGAGGACCGGAGGCGGGCAGGAGCAGGACAGGGCAGGACCTGGATCGGGCCGCATGTCGGAGCTGTTGGGCCTGGCGGGAAGTGCTCACTGGCACGCACTCAACACGTGCGACCTGCAGTGCGCGCAAAGGCTCATCCTTCCTTCTCCTCCTCCTCCTCCTCCTCCTCCTCTCCTCTCCTCTCTCCCCCTCTCCTCCTCCTCCTCTTCCTCCTCCTCCTCCTCCTCCTCCTCCTCCTCTCCCCTCCTCCTCCTCCTCTTCTCCTCCTCCTCCTCCTTCTCCTCCTCCTCCTCCTCCTCCTCCTCCTGTTCCTCCTCCTCCTCCTGTTCCTCCTCCTCCTCCTCCTGTTCCTCCTGTTCCTCCTTCTCCTCCTCCTCGTCTTCCTGCAGCACTCCTCGAGCAGGATCGAGCGGCACGTCGCCGCCAGGATCTCTCCGGGAGCGATGGAGGTGTGGGTCGCAGATCTCTGCGGAGCACGGGGGATCTCCTGCTTGTGCGTGATGGCAATAGCTCTGCGGCAGCAGCGAGGCCGTCGGAACCAGTGACGGTTGCCACAAGTCGAAGTCACAGCGCGAGGGAGGAGAGTGGAAACATGTGGATGGGGCATCAGGAAGGGATGAAGGGCGACGCGAGGGGTAAAAGTAGCGAACGGGCGGGTGGAAAAACGGAAAGAGGTATCTCCCCGCCAGAGGGCCAAATCAACCCGATGGGCAGAAGGGGGAGGACGAACACCAGTCAACTACGACAAATCAAACCGACTCCTGCAATGCGGAGCAAAGGCAAGATGAGCTGGGATCAACAACACTGGCTATACTTCGAGTCCGGGCGGCCATCGAGAAGCAGAGCCAAGGGCGCCCATCTCACCAAAAGAAACCGAATAAACTATGATACCGGAGAAACGAAACACAATCATAATAGTTTTAGGGCTGTAGGGCTATAGGGCTATATGGGCTATAGGGCTATAGGGCTATAGGGTAATAGAGCTACAGGGCTATAGGGCTATCGGGTATAAGGGTATGGGGCTATAGAGCTATAGGGCTATACGGCTATAGGGCTATAGGGCTATTGAGCTGTAGGGCTATAGGGCTATAGAGCTATAGAGCTGTAGGGCTATAGGGCTACAGGGCTATTGGGCTATAAGGCTATATGGGCTATAAGGCACCCCTGGGCACACGGGCACCCCCGGACACGCCCGGGCATCCGGGCACCCCCGGGCACCCGGGCACCTGGGCGTGCGGCGAAAATCGGCGGCAAACCTAACCTAACCATATGAATCCGCTAGGACCCCTACAGAGGCAAACTCTGATTGGGGAACCATGGTGCAATCTCCTTGTCTTATCTGTGTACCGTCACCGTCGGTATCCGTCCTTGTCTTATCCTGGTCGCATCCTTACCGCTGGATGTCGCTAGCGTCCTACCTGCGATTCCATCTCTTGGCTGGGTGGGTGGCCTTGGTGGCGTCGAGTTGCGGGGTGTGCTCTCCAATATGCTGGTGCAAGCTGTGGGCAGCCCTCCGCCCGTCGACGTCATAATACTTGTGCTCTGTTGTTTGTCGCCACCACCACCCTTCGGGAGCCTGAGCCCCACGGCCACCCCCCCTCTTTGCAGTTGCGTTCCATGCTGATCCCGCGTTCGCTTCGCCGATTTCGCCGCTCTGCCCGCGTTGAGCGTCCGCCAGCGCTGCGGCCAAAAAGCGTCGGCAGCAGCTGTGTTTCCGCATTCAGTTTGGAGCTCGGATTAATATGCGTTCTGTCCACCGGCTCGGATGGCAGTTGGCTTCGCAAGCAACCTCGCGCCAGAGCATTGACAATACATCTGAGCCACATCCTCTCCACTGGCCATGCTCGTAAGAGCCTCCACCCAACTGATGATGCTGCCAATTAACTCAAACACTCATTCCGTGCCGCCTGCCGTCTGTTGGTAGGTCTGGGGTAGTGGCAGTGGTCCGCTAGTATCTGCGCGTGTGCAGGACTGGTCTGGCGAGGCAGGTGGTTTGCTGGACGCGCCAGTGTCGCTGAAGTTATTGGAAGGGCTGCAATCTGAGTCGTGATCGCTTTCGTTGTCCACCTCTGGGTTGGAGTGCCAGAACACTTGCATCTGCGCATCATCGTGGCATTCCGAATATCACTCTGACCATGTGCGTTTGGCGCAGCTGCGTAGCTGTTGACCACGAGGCTCTGCTAAAATCAATGCTTCGCTGCACATGCTGGCGGGTATGCTTGTGTCTGCAGATCAATGGGCCATGTCGTTTCGTCAAGCCGTGCTTGCGGCCTGTGACGCTAGCCCGCACAACTTGGACAGCGTGTCGGACCGTTGTCGCGAGAGCGTCGTGAAGCGATCGGTTAGCCGAGAAGTGCAAGATTGCAGGTGAGAGGCAACAGCTTTGCCCATGAACCTAGTAATCCGAGGCAGATATGTCACGATGCTTGCGCTGGTAAAACGCGCCTTCGTGCATGAGAAACAGGAGTTCCTCATGCTCAAGAGCGGAGGAGGGCAATGAGGACAATCAGTTAATCATGCTCCTGCAGCATGAAGAACTACGACAGGCCCATGCCATGATTAGCAATGGACAAGAAACTCAGCTGCTGCAAGAAAGGTAGGTCGACGAATGGCCAGCTCAACTATACTTGCTCCCCCCCGCGATAGCTGTGACCGGCGACGCGTGGTCGAAACAAGCAAGCGAGTTGAAAAGCCTCAGCACTCAACGCCGAAAACTGGAATAATGCCAGAAACAACCACAGTCCCGAGGAGGCGGCACACATACATACATACATACATACATACATACATACATACAGACAGACAGACAGACAGAAAGACATACATACATACATACTTACTTACTTACATGCATCCATACATACATCCATACATACATACACACACACATACATAAATACATGCATGCATGTATACATACATACATGCATGCATGCATGCATACATACATTCATACATACATACATACATACATACATACATACATGCATGCATGCATGCATGCATGCATACATACATGTATACACATATACATAACGGTGTATATATAGATATAACGATCATGGCTGAGAACATATCGGAGATGTCATACAACATTCACCAGGAGGGACAACATCTTGTTTCGGAGTTCAGACAGTCGGCATCGGGTTTATCAAGCTACCTTGTCTGTGGCCGCTACCACCGAAGGAACTCGCCAGTCGGCCCCGCCGAGGGCATGCTGCTGGAAACAAAAAACACGTCCTCAGGTTCCCTTCGCCTCTCCTTCCCTCCCCCCCCCTCCCCTCCCCACTCCCCCTCTCCTCCCCTCCCAAAATTCTCAGATTCTCCTCTCCTAGTTACCCTCACCCTCCCCTCCACACTCCCTATGGTCCTCGTTGAGCACCCGCTGCGCGAGCTGGGCATGCAGCTCCTTCCCCTGCACCTTGTTCTGATCCAGCTTCTCCTGGGAGGCAGCCCCGCTCGGTCACGCGAATTCCCCTCCCGAGAAGGGGCTGCCACGACGAAGGCTCGCCCCGCATCGACCAGCTCAGAGGCGGACAACGGCTTCCCAGCTGGCTTCGGGGCAATCTGAGCAGAGACGAAGCGAGAGGCCAAAGGTGAACCCAACCACTAGCCATCGCTCGGACGTCCATTCCCCGCGCATCTTCGGATTCGTGCGTGTATTTTTCGCACGATGACTCAAAATGCTCATCGGTCGCCCCAGCCGAGGGAAGAACTGCATACGTCCGAGGGAGACCAAGAACACACGTCCGCAGATCTGCAGGACCGAGCCCGCCCGAACCTCACCCGAGGAGGGGGGGCCCCACAGACTCAGCGCAAACCTCCCCAGAGCTGTGGGCTGTGGAAGCGCCCCAGGGCAGTACCAGGAGAGAGAGAGAGAGAGCGAGAGCGAGGGGACAACGTTTTCTTATCCGGTTCTTCAACATTGTAAAGGGGCCCTGGGACACACAAATAAATACACACAAATCCCAGGTGTCCCTATCTATTATTCCTATGTTCTGGGTTTTCTTCATCCTCCCCACTTCCCACAGTTTCCTATATTTTCCTTATTTTCCTGGGAGTCGACGACTATTTCCCCTTCTGACATTGGGCGGAACGGGGGGGGAGGCGGGGGGAAGGGTCTGGCTTTAGACCTCTGCGGAGCGCGACTGCTTGCTGCAGGCCGTCCCACGGGGGAAACTCCGCCTGCTCGAAGCAGGCGCCAAGAACAGCCAGGATCTACTCCAAGACGGGGGGGGAGAAGGGGGAGGCTGCGATAGACGAAGGAAACAAAAACGCCACAAACATAAACTGTCGATGCTCCGCGCGGAATTCATGATCCGCGCTGGGTCTCCCTCCCTGGCGCGGGGACCTCGCCAGGGGCGGCGCTGGAGGCGCCGCCAGGGGGGGCCTAGCGCGGATCCAAGAAATCAGCGCGGAGCGCAAAACGTTTATGTTTATGGCGTTGCTTCTTCTTCGATCCATGAGGGGCGGAGGAGGAGGAGGAGGAGGAGGAGGAGGAGGAGAAGGAGGGGGAGGGGGAGGAGGAGGAGGAGGAGGAGGAGGAGCAGGTGGAAAATAAGGGGGAGGAGGAGGAACATGAGGAGGAGGAAGAGAGGAGGAGGAGGAGGAGGAGGAGGAGGAGGGGGGCGCGCGAGGGCCCGCGCCGATCGGCAAGACCAGTGCGTAAGGACAGCAGACGGTCAGGGGCCGGGCCTGCCGAGACGCGCGCTGCTCGGCCAACTCTTGGGAGGCAATGTCTGCGCGGGGCCCTCTCACTCTTGTGCCAGCTCCTCCGGGGGGAGGGGCCGTGCTGTGTTGGACAGGTGCTCTCCACTACTCGCAAAGTAACTACCCATCGGTCGGAAGAATTAGGTAGAGACATGAAGTAGGAAGGCGTTGGAAATATATTGGGTTTCCGCCCGCCTCCTGAAGAGGAGGGAAGAGGGAAAACCACTCGACTCTTGAAGTAGGAAGGCACTGAAAGTAGATTGGAATCTGGGAATCCAAAAATACCTATTTTCAACAACCGATGGGTACTCACAAATGGTGCAGATCCGCTGTGGAGGATTTGCGATACATCACGTCGAGGCAGATGCTTGTTTTTAGGACCTTTTGCGGGTGCAGTCGGACTCAATTGGACAGGACACGCGAGAGGACTCAAGACCCGTCCGAGGTCCACATTGCCACAGGAACGTAGGAAGCACGGGTCGCGAGACGCAGGGCACGAGGGCACCCTGTGATTTGGGCAGGGTCGACCTGCTAATCTGGGCCGACTGCAGGCACTTCGCAAGTAGCGGACCGCGCCCAGTGAGGTGCGGGCAGGAGGGAGGGAGGGAGGGAGGGAGGGAGGGAGGGAGGGAGGGAGGGTGGAAGGAAGGAAGGAAGGAAGGAAGGAAGGAAGGAAGGAAGGAAGGAAGGAAGGAGGAGGAGGAGGTCGAAGCGGAGCATCGAAGCGGCCATCGACTCGGCAGATGTCGTCCGCCGGGCCGGGAGGGCGCCGAGAGGTCGACGCCCCAGACTGCCGCAGAGCCGAGGCCTCCGCAGCAGGCAGGCCCAGGCCGGAGGCGGGCTTCGGGGGCGAGCCCGGTCAGCAGCGAGTCGCCTCGGTTCGGCAGGGTCGAAGTGGCTCCTTTGTGGATGCGAAGGGCAGGAGGGGGAGGGGGAGGAGGAGGAGGAGGAGGAGGAGGAGGAGGAGGAGGAGGAGGAGGAGGAGGAGGAGGAGGAGGAGGAGGAGGAGGAGGAGGAGGAGGAGGGGAGGAGGAGGAGGAGGAGGAGGAGGGAGGAGGAGGGAGGAGGAGGAGAAGAAGGAGGAGGAGGAGGAGGAGGAGGAGGAGGAGGAGGCGCGAGGGCCCGCGCCGATCGGCAAGACCAGTGCGTAAGGACAGCAGACGAGCCCCCGAACGCTTCAATGACTGGGGGAAATCGGCGAGACCGGGTACACTTTCAAGAAATCCTTCTCCCCAAGGGCGGGGCGTGGGCTGGCCGATGTACCCTCCGAGTATATATATATATATATATATATATATACATATATAGCCTGCTCCCTTCGGGTTTCGAAGGGCACATCCCGAACTGGAGTGTTGTGATACTAGAGGCCTCCTGGATGGGGTCGGAACACATGGGGTCAGAGGACCGCGCCGTATCGCCGGTGCATCGGCGAAGTCGGCGACGCATCGGCGCCGTCGGCGAGGAGAAGATTTAGCGGGTGAAGCACGATATAACATTGCCAATTTCCGCCGTGGGGGACGCCTGCCCCAAGGCGGCTGGAAAGTTGATACCACTAATTACGGTGGCACGTCAAGGTAATGCGGGATGACGATAAATTCGCCGGCCCAACGGGCCAGAGGCGTGCTAAGATCTCCGGTAACTGGTTAACAATTGTATTGTACTAGTTCGCGCGCGCGGGGCGGCCCCTGGGGGTCCCCCGGCGAAAAGTACCCCGCCCGCCGCCTGGCAAGGTCCCGCCCGGTTCAACTCAGAGATGGTTTTCCTTCTGGGTGCGGCCTCTCAGGCCGCCCTGAGCGCGCCAAGAGTGCCCCAAGAGGCCCCCAAGATTGCTCAAGAGGCCCCCGAGACGTTCAAAGAGCGCTCCAAGGCGCCGAAGATGACCCCAAGACGGCCCAAGAGACCCCCAAGACAGCCGAAGAGGCCTTCAAGACGCCCCAAGAGCCTTCCAAGAGGCCTCCGAAGAGGGCCCCAAGAGGCCAAAATCGTTGATTTTCATTGGTTTTTCCGATGTTTTTTGCGTTCTGGCTTTTTCGGCTTCCGGACGCTCCAAGACGACCCAAGAGGCGCCCAAGATCGCTCCAAGACGGCCCACGAAGCTCCCAAGACGGCCCCGAAACGGCCCAAGAGGGCCCCCAAGACGGCCCAAGTGCCGCCCAAGACGGACCAAGAGGCCCCAAGACGGGCCCAAGAGGGGCTCAAGAGGGATACAGAGAACTGAAAAATCGAGCCCTCCGCCCCAGAAGGCGCCCAGGAGGCCCCAAAAAGGCCCCAAGAGGCCCCCAAGAGGCCCCCAAGACGCCCCAAGAGGCGCCCAAGAGGCCCAAAAGAGGCCCCAAGAGGCCCCCAAAAGGCCCCCAAGAGGCCGCAAAACTCGGCTAGCCCGCAACGGTGCGACAATATGGGCCGGCGGAATGAGCGAAGCGATTAAATAAAAAAGGGGAGAGAACGATTAAAATTCGCCGGCCCAACGGGCCAGAGGCGTGCTAAGATCTCCGGTAACTGGTTAACAATTCTCTAGTTCGCGCGCGCGGGGCGGCCCCTGGGGGCCCCCGGACGAAAAGTACCCCGGGCGACTCCCGGCTGATCCCCGGGCGACTCCACCAGAGCGCTCCACGAGCGCACCAACAGGGCTCCGAGACGTCCCCGATAGCCCCAAGAAAGGCCAAGAGGCCCCCAAGAGGCCCCCAAGATGGTACACGAGGGGTCCGACATGCCACAAGATCGCTCCAAGACGCCCAAGATAGCCCCCAGACGCCCCAAGAGGCCTCCAAGAGCACTCCCAAGAGGGCCCCAGGAGGCAAAATTCATTGCTTTTCCTTAGATTTTTGAAAGATTTTGGAGCTTCCACCTTTTCGGCTTCCCGACGCCCCACGACGGCCCAAGAGGCCCCCAAGATCGCCCCAAGCGGGCCCAAGAGGCCCCCAAGAGGGCCCCAAGATGGCCCAAGAGGGCTCGAAGACGTCCCAAGAAGCCTCCAAGACGGTCCAAAACGGCTCCAAAAACGCCCCCAAAGGGGCCCCAGAGAGGGAACACGAAACAACATTTCGAGCCCTCGGCCCTAAGAAGCCCCCACGAGGCCCCTAAGAGGCCCCAAGAGGCCCCCAAGAGGCCCCCAGGAGGCCCCCAAGAGTCCCCCAAGCGGCCCCGGGAGGCTCCCCAAATGCCCCCCCGAGCACGCAAGCAAGTGCAAGCGATGCTACAATGTGCTCTCCTTTCGGTAGACTCCCAACGGGGCCCCTACAGACTTGCAACAAGCGTCATGAACCTGCCCAAAAAGCACTGTCCAGGAACGTTCACAAGTGCCGCGAAGAAGCCGTCCTTACGCCGGAAAGCCCGGAAAGCCGGGTGGGGTGACCACCGCGCCCTCTCACACAATGGTTTCCGCACGCCGCCCAGAGCGCGACGTTCGGCTCATGCCCCCAGAACGCTCCAGGAGCGCGCCAAAACGGCACCGGAACGCCCCCGAAACAATCCAAGCGGCCTCAAGTCGCCGAACAACCTTTCCAAATCGCCCAAGATGACCTCAAAATTGCCGTCGAGCCCGCCAAGAAGCCCCAAGAGAGCCTCAAGAGGCCCTCCAAGACGGCCATTACAATCAAAAATCGTCCCATTCCCAGAGGAACATGTACACTTCCCGCATGAACGGCGTTTCGAGTTTCACAGCGCCTCAGACTACGCAAATAGCCCCCAACATCGCCCCGAGACAGCCCAACAATCCGCTAAAATCGGCCCAAGACGGCCCAAGATAACCCCAACACGGCACTAGAGAGCACCAAAACCGCCCAAGAGGCGCCCAAAGGGGGATTCTGCCCCTAGGAGCACCTCAGAAGCCACCAACATCCCGCCAATAAGTCCCCCAAAACGCCCCGAGAACCACCCGAGAAACCCAACAAGAAGCCCCAACGACCCCCGCCCTTACGGGGCCTCAAGAGGCTTCAACACTGCCTCCAAAAGGTTCCCGAGACGCCTTGCAAAAAAAAACCCAAAAGCGCCGCATTGACACCAGGCCCTCGGGCAAACGGCAGACATGAGACTGTATGGGCCGGCGGAATGAGCGAAGCGATTAAACAAGTGGCACGCGTGCCTGCCCTGGCTCTTGCACAAAGGAGCTGCGAAGGACTGGGAAGCCTGGACGGAGGAAGGCTGGACGGAGGAAGGCTCCCAAGGGTGGGTGGCTCAGGGGAGCTGGGGCTCAGGCTCAGAGGGGGGGGGGCTGATGGGGGACGAACCACCACGAGCAGCGAAACACGACGAAAATAAAGGGTTCCGCGGCGGGCTGCCCTGGGAAGCCTGGACGGATGGTGGTTCCGAAGGGGGGGTGGCCCGGGGGAGCTGGGGCTCAGGCTCATGGTAGGGGCCGAGGGGACGAACCGCCACGAACCACGAACCACGACGAAAATAAAGATGTCCGAGCTCTACACCACAGCTGTGCCGAAATAAAGTGGTCGGGGCGGAGGGGGCACTGGGCGGGCGCTGGAACCGCGGGGGGGCGCTGAGACGGCGCGGGGGAGGGGGCGGAGCGGGGGGGGGTGCGGTGCCGAAATAAAGTGGTCGGGGCGGAGGGGGCACTGGGCGGGCGCTGGAGCCGCGGGAGGGCGCTGAGACGGAGGGGGCGCATGATGATGATGATGATGTGGATGATGATGATGATGATGATGATGATGATGATGATGATGATGGTGAGTATGATGTTGATGATGGTGAAGATGATGGTGATGATGATGATGATGATGATGATGATGAAGATGATTATGATGATGATGATGATGATGATGATGATGATGATGATGATGATGATGATGATGATGATGATGAAGGGGGGGGTGCGGTGCCGAAATAAAGTGGTCGGAGCTCTAGACACCCTGTGCAAGAGAATAAAAATCTTCTGCCATTTCTGCAACATTTTGTCACTAGAGGAGAACGATTTAAAAATAGTTTTCCAGCCCGCGGCCGGCTTTTTCTAATCGTCATCCCGGGCGCCGCCGCGTGAACACGACCCCCAGTCATTCATTAATCGTCATCCTCCATTATCAACTTCCCAACCGCCATGCGGCAAGCGTCCCCGACGGCCGACCAGTTTATGTTATACCGTTCTTCGCCCGCCAAAAGATCAGGCTCGACATCGAACCGCACTGCCGATACAGCGGCGATGCGGCGCGGTCGTCCGACACTGCCGTGCACTCGGACCCCATCTGGGAGGCCTAGATCGAAGAAGAACGACCGGCATAAATATAAACTTTCGGCGCTCTGCGCGGACTTCTTGGACCTGCGCTGGACCCCCTTCCCTGGCGCGTGGAGCGCGCCAAGGGCGGCGCTGGAGGCGCCGCGGGGGGGTCCAGCGCGGATCCAAGAAATCCGCGCGGAGCGCCAACAAAATTATGTTTGTTCTTCTTCGGTTAGAGATACCATGGCCCAGTGGGGATGGGAATAGGGTAACCGATACTGCGAAGCAACCCTGCCCGAGCGGGGGCTTGACGACGCGAAAAGGGGACTCTCGGGGACTGGCCCTCGCAAAAAGCGGCCCCAAGCTCTCCCGAGCTGCCGTGCTAGTCGACCGATCATCTCGCCGCGGTGTATAGATGCCTCCTAGATGGGGTCCGAGTAGATGAGGTCGAAGGATCGCGCCGCATCGCAAATGCTTCGCCGATGTATCGGCGATGCATCGGCGACGTCGGCGATGCATCGGCGCCGTCGAAGTGGGGAACATCGGGCTCCACATCGAGCCGCATCGGCGCTGCATCGGTGCGATGCCGCGATCCTCCGACCCCATCTACTCGGACCCTATCCGGGAAGCCTAGAGTGCACCTGCACGCTGAAGACTGGCAAACCGGCAGCACTCACGAGCTGCGAGCATATCCGTACCCGCGCCCTCCCTTCCTACGCGGTCGCACGGATACGTTCCACGTGAGGCATCCGCAAAAAAGGAACGCCCCGCATCGGCGCGCGGGGTCGCGGTCCAAGGGCCTGGCCCGCGAGGCCGCGGATACGGCTACGCTTTTTTCGCCCACGAAGCACTCTGGGCTTGAGGGAAGAGAAAAGCAGAAAGAGAGAGAGATCAACGAGTTGGCTCTCATGGGCTAAAGTTTCAAAGATGATGCCACCGTTGTCGTCCTCTCCCCGTTGCACTGTGGACTGCTCCTTTTCCCTGGCATGGACTGCGTCCTGAGACACGACTGCCCTAATTTCGACCGCCTGACAAAGCTGACGGACGCAGACGCCTCGGTCCCTCCCACATGACTGCTGCCTGCCAGCCCTAGCCCTGAATGGGTAACTTAAAAAGGACCCTAACCAATCGGGAGGGGACCCAAGTTAGGAGGGCCAAACACATTAGATATATGGGGTCTTTTTCTGCAGATATATCGAATCAATCCATCTCAGATTGCCTATCCCTATCATGCAGCGACGGGGACCTCCGTCAGGCCACGTCTTCATCGTGCTGTTGGGGATCAGGGGTTCTTTTGTTACCGATGACTGGAGCCCTCGCTGGAGCCCGCGACCGCGGCTCCTGCAAACGACCACGAACCGTGCGCTCGGGCCCCACGCACACGCGAGCACGTCACCCGCCAGCCGCTGCCCCCGAGACACCACCAGAGAGAGGGCCGGCGCGCACGCACGCACCGAGAGGCGGAGTGCGGCAGGTGCGTGCCGCGACGACGCCGGCGTTGGTCTCGGACACCGCGTGGCTCGTTCAGCCGTGCACGATCGGCGGCTTCTCGAATGCAGTGGAGGCCAGTCCACAAGACCGTCCACAGGGAACCCAACCCTGAGACCCCAGGGCGCCCATTGATGTTTGGCGTGAGAGCGTCGCGCGCTCCATCGCAAAACCATCGAAGTCCAAGAAACCCAGGGCACCCTGGAGGCAAGCAGGGGGCTTCTTGGCATGGGCCCCACTGTAAGGCAAGTTCGTGCCATGACGACCCCAGCGTTGGTTTCTGACACCGCGTGGATCGTTCCACCTTGCACGATCGGCGGCTTTTCGAGTACTGGGTCTGGGGGGAGCCAACAAGTATCGATTCCGCCACTTCCTGGACCTCTCCCGGGGAGCGTTCTGCCTAAGACTCCGTGGCGAATCCAGCTGTGGCGCACACACTGCATCTCCCTCGCATGGCGCCATTGGGCGCTGTTGGTCGTTAATGGGCGTTGTTGGAAAGCTGTCGGGCTCCTACTGGGAGCTATTTGGTGCTACCGAGCGCCATTGGACGCCATTCTCCGACATGCGTTCCGTTCCCCATCTTGCCGTAGCTCGGGCGTCCATTCCCGTACATGTTTCGGTTTCGTACGTGTACTTGCTTCTCCGCAGCCTGATCCAGGATGCTCCTCGATGGTGCTCGCCGAAGACATGGGCGGAGCGATGCCTAGACGTGGGCGGAGCCTTCCGGGCTTTGTCCATCCTCCTCTTCCTCCTCCTCCTCCTCCTCCTCCTCCTCCTCCTCCTCCTCCTCCTCCTCCTCCTCCCCCTCCTCCTCCTCCTCCTCCTCCTCCTCCCCCTCCTCCCCCCCCTCCTCCTCCTCCTCCTCCTCCTCCTCCCCCCTCTGAAAGCCGAACGGAGCGCGCGGAGTCCGCCGGGTGGCCGGCCAGCGGGCCTCCCTTTCTCTTCGTCGGGGGGCGTCCAGGAGGGCGGCGTCCGAGGGGGGCGGGCCGCAGATCAGGGCCAGAGGCGCGTGCGCGGACGAGGGGGGCACCGGGGGACGCCTCGCCCCGGCCGCGGTATCCCTCGCCCCGACCCTAGTCATCACCCCCCCGAATCGCTAGCATCATCCAACCGATGCTTGGTGCTCCTCCCTTTGCAATCATCTGTATGAGCTGTGAGACGTCGTCACCCCACCGTTTTCGTTGCCCAGCATGCTTGCGCTGAGAGGGAGGCCTTCACTGCTTCTCCTGGTTCACCGTCCTGCAAGTTTGGTCGAGCCGAGTGGAGCCTTGTACCCTTGGCGACGCGGGGGCCTGCCGCTTGCGAAGAAAGAACGATAAAGCAAGAACCGCTTCGTTCATCATCAACTGAAAACTTGCGATGACATGCGCCCTGCTGCCCCAATGCTCCCTGATGCCCAGACCCGTGTCGTACGCCAACCCGGCCAACGCTCCGAGGGGAAATCCAGCCTCGGCGACGCAGAGGCCTGAGGACCAGCCACCCTCACAGTGCGGGCAGTATTCGGATCCATATCCAGCGCGTATGGGATTCCGGACACCCTTGCCTGGAAACGCACGCCGCGGTGGATTTGGACAACAGCCACCTCCAACGAGGCCAGACATTGATCCAAAGTCCCTGCGGCTCGGGATCTGGGCACCCCTTCCCCGAAAAATCCCAGACGCCGTGGACATGGCTCAAGACCTTACCGCCCTCAAAACACAGGCAGGCACGCCGACAGGCAAGACCCACCGACCCATCTCAACAACTGGCCGTCGCTCGGACGTCCATTCCCTGTGCTTTTTTCGGTTTCGTGCGTGTTTTTTTTCGCCAAATGATCAGGGATGCTCCTCGATGGTCCTCGCCGAGGGAAAAATGCACACGTCCGAGCGATGCCAGGACAAAGCCGCTGCGGCGCGTGTCCTCGATCTTCCGGCGAGTGTCCTCGTGCTCGCGGATGGACTCCTGAAAAAGACCCGCCAGGGTGGGGCGGCGGCTGGGCGGCGGCAACAGAAGTGACGACGATCGGATCGATGATGACCGTGGGGGCGATGCTTACGACGAGTATGGTGATGAGCCTGATGGTGACGATGACAACGAGGCAATGGTGACGCTGGCCATGATGATGACGATGGTATTGGTGAGGATGATGAGGAAGTGCGCGTGGCTGATGATGAGTTGAACGAGGGTGGCAACATCGAGACGATGCCGATGACCACGTGACGGCGGTGGACATGATGACGATGATGATGGTGATGATGGTGGATGATGACAATGATTGTGCTGGCGAAGATGTGGAGGAACTGTGCGCGCTCGCGACGAATCCGAACTTATCACAACACATTCTTACCAGACCCTGGGAGACGCAGGACTCGGGTTGGCCTGACGGGGCCATCCTGAAAATGACGAGACGCGGTCCGAAATTTGCAGCGAACTCCCGCTGCAAACATCCCACGAACACTGGACCGTCAACGTCCAGGACGCTCGCGTCAAAAGAAGCGGCGGCAAAACCCGAGCTCTGACGTTTCCCCGATCGGAATTCACGAGGTCTTCGTGTGAGTTTGCGCACCTCTGCGCTGACGTGCTGCGCGAGCCATGCTGCGCGCACCTTTGTGCTGACATGCTGCGCGTCTGGGAGACGCTCGTGAAAAGAAACGTCGGCAAAACCCGAGTTCTGGCGCAACTCGAGTCTTGCGTTTCACTGGTCGGCACCCACGGGGCCTTCGCGTGAGTCTGCGCACCTCTGTGCTGAGGTGCTGCGCGAAGCAGAAGGACTTGGACGACACAGCGGCGTGCGCGCTCGCGGAGACGCGCGCGCTTGCGCGTGGCCCGTGCGGTACGGTATTCCTAGACAAGGTTGGCGTTAGGTCGGGCATGTCCCCCTACAGGCGAATCTTGAACGAAAAATGAAAGCATACCCTACAAATACCCCGAACTAGTCAAAACATATTCCAAACATCGTCCCCGGAATATGTTGTTGCTATGTTTGAATATTCCCGACTTAAGGTCGGCGGGACCGGGATGGTTGGCCCGACTTAAGGTTGGCGGGACCGAGAAAGTTGTTGAATGTCTTCGCCATGCGCATGCCTGTGGCGAGTATGGTCCCATGCGTGGTACAATCGGAACTCGAGCACAAGAAACCATCCGCAAAAAGCCCAAACCTGAGACCTCAGGACGGTCATTGATCTTTGGCGTGGGAGCCCAAGAGACCCAGGGCGCCCTGAAGGCAAGCAGGGTGTTCCTTGGCATGGGTTTCCACTGTGAGCTGGCCATCGCTCGGACGTCCATTCCCCGTGCATTGTTCGATGTCGTGCGCGTATTTTTCGCAGGATGACCCAGGATGCTCCTCGAGGGTCCTCGCCGACAAAAATGCACATGTCCGAGCGATGCCAAGTAAATTGCTGAAACCGAAGGTTTCAGGATGGTTTCAGCGAGTGCTTGCGCGCGCCAGGTTCTGGCAACTGTCTGCGGAATGCCAACAAAAGATTGCAGATTGTGATACTTGTCGAATGGTTTTGTCTTGTTTTCGAGTTCGGATTGCCAATGCATATGGTGCTTCACCTGTTTTGGGGCGTGCTGGCTGGGTGGCGAGGAAGAACGGGGCTGGCTGCGAGCGGCGGGGGAAGAGCGGGCGCGGTGCCGGTGCCATGCCGTGCTAGAACAAAGTGGTCGGGGCGGATGGGGAGCGCTGGCGTAGAGGTGACGAAGAGTTGGGTTGGCTGCGGGGGGCGAAGAGGTGGGAGAGGTGGAGAAGGAGGAGGAACAAGAAAAATAAGCATACTAGTAATAATGCGAATGGCACGAAGAACAAGGGAATTTATACTAATAGTGTGGACCCATCCATTATTAGATATAACCAATTAAACACGAAGAAAACAATACGACGAATAATAATAATAATAGTAATAATAATAATACGCATGAGACGAATACCACTAAGATAATACACCGAATATGGATAATACTTAGAAGCATAAACGTGCAAATAACCATAAACATGACACGACAAATAAAACGAATAATGCTAATAATAATAATACGGATAGTACTACGAATAATAAGAATAACGGGGTTTGATGCGGGGCGGGAAAGATGGAATGCGGTGCCACTGCCCTGCCGTGAAGGAATAAAATGTTTGGGGCGCAGGGGGCGCGCTGGCTGGGGGGCGGAAGCGGGGGGCGAACAACAAGTAACTTTATGTCGGGCGTGTCCCCCTACAGGGGGATTGTCGACGAAAAATAAGAAATACTCATACTCCAAAAATGCACCAAAAAGGCAACAAAAATACTCAAAAAATAGTTCACGGACTGTTTTGCATTATTGTTGGACTATTTGGGAGGTACTTTTCTTTTTCGTCGAAAATCCCCATGTATAGGGGACAGGCCCGACCTAAGAGTAACTGGGAACAGGGGCCGGCGCAGTACCCGTGCCGTGCCTTTGGGGAGGCGGAGGGCAGACGGGGCCCGCTGTGTGTGTGTGTGTGTGTGGTGGGGGGGGGGGGGGCGATGGCTGGCCATCGCTCGGACGTCCATTTCCTGTGTCTTTTGTCGGTGTCGTGCGCGGTTTTTTTGTTTGGTCGCAGGATGATCCAGGATGCTCCTCAAGGATCCCCGCCGAGAACAAGTGCACACGTCCGAGCGATACCAAGACGAGGGAATGGGTTGGCTGCAGGTGGCGACAAGGAGGGGCTGGGCTGCCTGCGGGGGGGGGGGCAGTGGGGCGCGGTGCCATGGCCGTGCCGGAGTGAACGGGACGGGGCGGAGAGGTGCGCAAGCTGGGGGGGGCGAGTAGGAGATCGGCCAGCTGCGGAGGACAAAGAGGACGAGGAGGAAGAGGAGGAGGAGGAGGAGAAGGAGGATGAGGAGGAGGAGAAGAAAGAGGAGGAAGGAGGAGGAGGACGATGAGGAAGAGGAGACAGAGGAGAGAAAGGAGGATAACTGGGGCTGGCTGCGGGGGTATGGCGGGTCGCGGTGCCAGTGCCGTGCCAGCAAAAATGGTCGGGGCGGTAGGGGCGCGCTGGCTTGGAGGCGATGAAGGTCTGGACTGGCTGCGTGGGCGCGAGGAAGAGGAGGAGGAAGAGGAGGAGGTGGAGGAGGAGGAGAAGGAGGAAGGGAGGAGGAGGAGGAGGAGGAGGAGGAGGAGGAGGAGCTGGGCTGCCTGCTGGGGGGGGGGAAGCGGTGCCCCATTGCCTGCGACGCACCGTGCCGGAAGAAAGTGGTCGGGCGGAGGAGGCGCGCTGGCTGGGGGGCGAAGACGATATGGGATTGCTGCGGGGGGCGAGGGGGAAGAACAGGGCTGGCTGCGAGGCGGGGAAGGGGGACGGCGCCATGCTGGTGCCGCGCCGTGCTGGAAGGAAGTCGTCGGAGCGGACGGGGCGCGCTGGCTGCGGGGGGCCGGCAGGAAGAACTGGGCTACCTGCGGAGGGGGTGGTATAAGGCGCGGTGCCGGTGCCGGTGCCGTGCCAGATTGAAGCGGCCGGGGCGGAAGGGGCGTGCTGGCTGGAGGGGAGGAGGAGCTGGGCTGGCTGCGGGAATCGAGAGGGACGAGCTGGGAGCTGGGCTGGCTGCGGGGGAGCATGAAAAGCGCGGTGCCAATACCGTGCCGTGCCATGCCGGAAAGAAGTGTTCGGAGCGGAGGGGCGAGGAGGAGCTGGACTGGCTGCGGGAGGGGAAGGCGGGGAACGGGGTGCGCGGTGCCCGTGGCGTGCCATGCCAGAGTGCAGTGGTCAGGGCGGGGCGCACTGGCGGGGGAGCGAGGAGGAGCTGGGCTGGCTGCGGGAGGAGGTTGGGGCGGTGCCCTGGCTGCGGGGGCGACGAGCCTGGCTTGCGGGAGGTGGGGGGCGCGAGGAGGAGCTGGGCTGGAGGAGCTGGGCTGGCTGCAGGTAAGGGAGACATGCGGGTGTGATCGCCGCTGCCGTGCCGTGCCGTGCCGAAATAAAGTCGTCGGAGCTCGATGCAAAAGTGAAACAATCTTAAAAATCAATGTATGTGCACCATGTTGCTCTTTGGACAAACAGTGAATGGGGGGGAACGATTGCGGCCGACCGGGGATTCTAGCAATCGAGAGTCGAGACGAACATGTTGTGCATACCAGTCACGAATCGAACACCCAAAGGGGGACCATGAAGTCCAGCTTTGGGGGCCGGTACTGTTCTCTCTTCGGGAAAATCGGGAGCGGCCAAGCAGGGGGCGTCCAAGAGGGGGCGGGGGGTGCAAAGCACGGCCGGCGGCATGTGCGCGGCCCAGGTGGGGGGGGCCAGGGGCGTCACGAAACAAGGGGAGGCGCCATGACATCTGGGAAATTAGCATGGCCCATGCCATGATACAGTCGGACTCGATGGGACAGGACACGCGAGAGGACACAAGACCCTTCCGCGGGCCACATTGCCACTGCCACAGGAATGTAGGAAGCATGGGTCGCGAGACTCAGGACACAAGGGTACCCTTGATTTGGCAGGGTCGACCTACTAATGCGGGCCGACTGCATCCCCCCCCTGTCATCTCCCCCCTCTTACCGCCCACGAGGAAAACATTCGGGAGCGGCCAAGAGGGGGGGGTGCAAATCATGGCCGGCGGCATGTGCGCGGCCCAGCGGGGGGGCCAGGGACGTAATGAAATAAGAAGGGGCGCCATGAAATCTGGGGCAAAAAATCATGGCCCCCGCCCTGATATCCCCCCCCCCTAGTAGTCATCAACCCCCCTCTCGCCGCCCCCGAGGGAAACCTGCCAGCGAAAACGCACGCGGCGCGCAGAAGCCGGGCGAGGCAGCGGCCGACACGCGCCCGCGCGCCCGGCGCGCACGCGAGGCGCCCCCGAGGGGCCCGCGAGGGCGGGCCCCCGACGGGCGGAGAACCTCGGCCGACCCGCCCAGCGCACAGCAGGCGCCCACGCGGGGCGCACAGCACGGGGCGCCCGCGGGCGGGCCCGGCCGGGCGACGCCTCGGCTTCTCTGCACGAGGCGCCCGCGAGGGCGCCCTCGCGCGGCGGGCACCTCGGCGAGGCCTCGGCCGCCCCGCCCAGCGCACGGGAGGCGCCCACGGGGCGCGCACGGGGCGGCCACGGGCGGGCGCGCCGGGCGGAAAGTTCCGAGGAGGAGGAGGCGGAGGAGGAGGAGGAGGAGGAGGAGGAGGAAGAAGAGGAGGAGGAGCAGGCGCCCACGAGGCGCCCTCGGGCGGGCACCCGGCGAGGCCTCGGCCGACCCATCCGCTGCGCTGGGCCAGCGGGGTAGGGAGGCGTCGATGCAACGAAGCGTCTGGGAGAGCGTCTTGGGGGGGAACTGGTGACAATCGACCTCCCCTCCAACACACTGCTTGGCCTGGTGCCTCACATTCATACCGACACCGGGCGCTGACCCGGCGCTTCCCACACTGGGGCTATTCGCAATCTCCCGTCGCTGTCGCAGAACCGCGAACTCAAATTGAAAGCAGGGCACTGGGACGTGCGCTTTCTTCTGAACCCATTTTCATCGGGCGCATGATAGCCGACATGGACTAGGGATAGTCACGTGGATCTGGTGCGCGGTGGCCACACCCACGCATCGGGGAGAGTACCCCCAAGAAATGGCGACACCGCGCGATGTGGTGGAGGAGCGCGCCGATGCTGTATGGAAACGGGAAGCCCTCGCTGACTCACGCGCGTCGAATCCATTTTTTTTTTTCTCTTTCCTCGATGCTACCATGGGGGCCGCTGCAGGGGCCACCACGGACTGCCGCTGCCCCCTCCCAAGGCGCACACGTGCTCCATCTTTGAGGTGCAGCCGCTCATGCTACTGAGAAGAGGAGGAGGAGGAGGAAGAGGAGGAGGAGGAGGAAGAAGAGGAGCAGGAGGAGAAGGATGAGGAGGAGGAGGCGGGATCGCCGAGGTGGCCCCGACACAGTGCCCGCCGCCCCCCCCCCCCCAGGAGAGCCCCGAATCGACTCAACAAGTCACGTTTGCAATCGAAGTAAATCACATCGGCGGAAATCGGCAGCCGAATCGGCAGACGTCGAATCGACGGAAACCGGGAGACCAGGCCTCCGTGGAGAGTTCGGATCCCACATCGGAATCGAGCTCGAATCGAAATGTAATCGGGGGCCGTCGAAACAGAATCGAGTCGCATCGAATCGGAGGACTCGAAATGCCTCCCTCCCCCCCCTGGCTCGTGCTCGTCGCGCCGTCCTCTATCTGGGACAGCTGGTCCTTCCAGTCCTCCAGCGTGGGCACGGAGGGTCGTGCTCGACGCGCCTGTGGGGCGGGCGCGCGGCCAGGGGCGAGATTGGGGAGCAGAAAAGAAGGGACGGGAAGATTAGGAGGCAACTACTGGGAGGTTTTCGTCGGACAGATTAGAGAAGATTAAGCCCCATTTGGGAACTATTACGCCGGAGTGGGCCTCGGATTAAGCGGGATTAAGCCGGATCAAGTGGGATTAAACAGGATTAAGCGGGATTAAATGGGATTAAGCTGGATTAAGCTGGATTTCGGACCAGGGCGAAAACAGAATTTCACCTCTCAGGAGTTGCATCTGAAAGAAGGGATAGGACGAAGAGGGCGGGGATCTTATGAGACAAATCCTGGAGGCCTCGCACGGCAACTTGAGATCCGATGCACGTCGGATCCACGTCGCATTTACGTGGGGTCCACGTCGGACTACATCGGAATCACGTCGGATCTACGTCGGGCTGGCTCCAGAGAATCGCCGCGCGAGCGTCGACCCATAGCTCACGGAGCTGACGTGTGGACTAGATGATACTTCTACGCGCCGCGCGAGGCTTCCAGGATTTTCCTCTTATAAGGGACCGAGCAATGTTCAACACGGGACGATGAGCCACGTGCGCGACCGCAGCGATCCCAGACTGCGAGCGCGCGAGCTGCGACAATCTACATCTATCGCGAGGTCGAGCTGCCATGGCTGCCGCGCGACGAGCTGCTGGCGAGAGCTGTACACCTTGCTCGCTGAGACTGCTTCCAAGATCCACGCGTGTGTTCAGGTCGAGGGGGCGGAGACACAAGTATGGAGACGACCGAAGCGACTCCGCGCCCTGCCTCTTCAAAACCTGAAGCGCGGGAGTTCGTGAAGCAATTGGAAATCCAGCCAGGTTCCTGATGCCCCTCTATCCCATGAGATGGGCTGCAGAGAAATCATGCTGGATCAATTGAACGAATTGCCTCGAATCTGACACCGTGCCGCTGGGCACGAAGTGGGCGTGTCCTCACGTCCTTTGCCCATTCCCATGAGCCACAGTCCTCACTCCTGATGAATCTTTAGGGGGTCCTGGAGCACAAATTGCCACATACCCCCGGGCTTGACGCGGACTGGCGCAGCTGGTCGCTAGTCTTTATCGGAGCCAATAAGACCTCATGACGGCCAAGAGGGCTTCAAGACCAGGCACAGTGGCGAGATCAGCCGCAAGCCAGTAGATCTGCCGCCCCCTGTTGATTTATCACAAAGGTGCCTGGCGTGCTAAACCCTATACGGCTTGGTTTTGTTGTCCAGAAAGAACTCCCCCCTGGGGCTTCGGCCAAGCGCGCTGGCCATCCGAAAGGCCCCGCCGCTGCACAGAAAACGTCTGACGGCTTGTATGGCCTCCAATGGTCAATATGGTCTCCAAGTTTGCCCAAGATGGTCCAAGATGGCCTCCAAGACGGCCCAAGAGGATCCGAGATCCTCCAAGTCCGCACAAAGACAGCACAAGAGGCCCCTAAGAGGTCTTCAAGCTGGCCCGAGAGGCCTCCAAGAGGGCCTCCAGGAGGGCCCGACGAGGGCAACAGTAGTGACGTTTCCTAGGTGGTTGAATTGTTCAAGCATGAGTTTATGTTTGGCCTTCCGATGGCCCGAGACGGCCCAAGAGCCCCCAACGATCGTCCCAAGATCATCCAAGAGACCTCCAAGATGGCCCTGGAACCCAGGAGGGCCCCACGACGGCCGAAGAGGCCTCCAAGACGCCCACGATGGCCTCCAAGACAACCCTTGAGCACCCCAAGAGGGCCCCAAGTCGGCCCAGAGAGGCCCCCAAGACGGCTTCTGACGGCGTCAGACGGGCTAGGCACGCCCTAAGGCGGGCACAGGGGCCCCCGAGGCCACCAAAGGCCCACAAGAGGCCCAAGGAGGCCCTAAGAGGCCTCCAACAGGCTCCCAGGAAGCTCCCAGCAGGCCCCGAGAGTGCCCCCAGAGGCTCCCAAGTTGCCCCCTCCTCCTCCTCCTCCTCCTCCTCCTCCTCCTCCTCCTCCTCCTGCTCCTGATATTCCCCGCCATCCTCGCCAAGTGTTTCCCGAAGGGTTTCCCCAGCGGCTGGGGGAACACACGGTTCGATACTTTGGCAGAGTTCTTGCCAGAAGGCTCGGTCGCATGGGCGATTCCAGAAGGAAGGAGGCTTTCGTTTGAGATCCCAATGGGGCAACGCGACGTGCGAAGGGCGTGCAGAAATGAGGCACTGGTGCCATGCCAACCCTGGCTTTTGGGCCTTAGCTGGAGCTTCCCGTTTGGCCACAAACGTGTGTGGGGTGTGCCAAAGTGAAGCACCGACGCCATGCGGAGCCTGGCAGTTGGGCCTTAGCTGGAGCTCTCTATGGGGCCACGAAGCCTGTGAGGTTTGCAGAAGTGGATATGCGGAGGGCAGAGGCCGGGATGGGAGGAGGAGGAATGAGGAGACGCGGGGGGCGTTGGGCCCCAACGCCTCAGGACGGTTGGTAACAAACGTAAGATCCGCGCTCCCGCGGCCACAATGCCTCCGTTAAAATGCATCGGATCCGCGCTCCCGACACCACGAGCCAAATCCGCGTTGCCGAGGAACCGCGATCTCCGATTCAAGAACTTAGGAGGCGCGCTGCCGAGGCCGCGATATCCCTGGTAACGACGCGAGGCGCGCGCTCTGGAGCCCACGAGCGTTTCCTGTGTGCAGTATCGGGGATGGGCAGACCCCCCTTTAGTAAAACGTGGTTTAGTGACAACGACCTGAGGCCCAAGCCTGGCGGGCGTGAGCCTGGACAATAACGGCCGCGGCGCCCTCTCGAGAACCGACAACGGACAATTCACTAAGCGACGTACCACTTTTCGGGGTTCTGTCCACCCCCGAAAGTGGGAGCCGCGGTCCCGAAACAATCGCTGCTTTCCCCTACACGGAATGTCTACGTATCAGCACCTGCACAACATCCCAGAAACAACCCACGCATGCGAGAACCAAAACACTCTTTGACTGTGCCACGGTCCCAGTTTGCAACACAATCCGAGTGTAACGATGTGAGGGCTCCGACCGTGAACAGTGCAGTGGGAAGGAAGAACTGAAAACGTTTCACGTAATACGGATCACCCTGGCAACGTAACGCAGAACTTGTGACGTGAATCTACAATTGCACTCGGACGAGCAATGCGAGCGTGTGAACATGACCCTGCATGAACGCGCACCACTTCGTACAGAGCACTTGGTAAAATGAATGTGTGCAGGCCCACCCCTTTCTCTAAACCTCTTCAACCGGATGCGAATGATGGTGACACTGCGAGGATGCTTCAGGCGCTATGCAAAAACATCGATTACTAACACTATTGATAAGTCCGTCACCACTGCCGTCGACATCAACGCCACCGTACTGCTTCTCCTTCGGGTGCTCGTTCACGCGGGTGCAATACACGTAGGGTGAATGGACGTGCCCCTCTCAGGAGCATTGGGGGCGGTGGCAGCTTGGGGCCGTTTAGGGCACCTTTAAGGATACGTCTACTGCCCTCCCCCCTCACATCGTGAAAGGCTTAACGACTTCTGCCATTCTTTGATTTGCGCTGGAGCGGCCTCGAATTGCTCAAACTTTCCCTGGAGATCTCTGGATTTACCTAGATATTACCCAGATGTATCTCGATGTATCTGGATTTACCTGGATGCCCCTCGATTCATCTTCATGTGCCTGGATGTATCTGGCTCGATCCCCACACGTCGATGGACGAAAAACCGACGAGCCCTCAGGGACCGCGGTGCCGTCCGCCCAGCTCTTTTGCCGCGGCTGCCGGCACGGGCGGTGCGGGGCGCGCCACGGTTCTCGGGGTGTAGGGCGACGAGCTGCCCTGGCTCTCGTTCCAGCCGTCGATGGCCTCCCTCGCCTGGGCCTGGCAGGCAGCAAGGGGGCGCTGGCAGAGGAGGAGGAGGCGGAGGAGGAGGAGGAGGAATCTCGAATGTCGCCAGCAGAAGTCGAAGGTGACGAGCTGTGCAAGAGATCTGGCCAGGGCTTGGCACGCGCTCTCGGCAACGGAGAGAGATGCGAAACAGGATCAGTCAGAGGAAGTCGGCGAGACCATCGACCCAAGCGAGGATGAGGAGGAGGGACGGAAGGGAGGCAGCAGGGGGAGAGAGGGAGAGGGCGTGTTTTTTTCAGCTCCAGCGGACATGACGGGGAGGGACGGTAGGGAGGAGGGACGGGAGGGAGGAGGCGGCCTGGGGCGGGAGAGGAGGGGCGGAAGGGATAAGGCAGCATGCGGCGGGGGGCCTCTTTCGGAGATCAGCTTGAAGCTCTGTTGGAGCGTCTTGGGGGCCACGTGAGCGGTCTCGGGGCAGTGGTCGGCGTGTTGGGGGCGTCTGGGCGTTTTCCTGGCCACCTCGAGGGCCGTTTTGGGCGGCCCCGGGGCCTCCTCGGAGCCCTCTTGGCGGGTCCAGTCTCGTTTGACCCCCCCTGACTCAGTGAGGGAGCGGTCCGGGCTCTATATATATATATATATATATATATATATATATACAGGGCAGGTCTTAACACATAGGATTTTTAAGACATAGGAATTGTAATGCATGGCTTAATGCATGAACAACTCAATGCATAAACTCACCCTTGTATGTATTAATCAACCCTCTATTTCTAATGCATGGTCCGCACGCGAAGCATGTATCAAAACAGGCGCTGTAAATATCGGGAGCGGCCACCCCCGAATATACGCACACGCGCACACGAGTGCGTGGAGGCGCGCCGTGGACGGTGCGCCGGGAGGACCCCCCCCAATGCACTGGGGCGGGGGGCGGAGTGCTCGAGCTGCGCGGCTGGAGGAAGTTCTGAGAGGCCCACGCGCTGCCATCGCGCGGGAGGCGTCGCGCCGGGATCGCGGCGGACGCGGGGGCGCGTCGGGGCAAGCGCGCGCTCGGGGGCAGAGACCGGGGGCGTTGGGACGGCGTCGGAGCTCAAAGTAGGGATCCAGCGGCGGAAGGCAAGCGCCTCTGGAACGTCAAAGTATCTGAATGCCAGCAGGTAGTGGGGGGCGATGAACAACGAGCGTGAAATTTTACGAACCTTGCGCCTGCGAGGGGCTTCTCGCTGCTCGTCCGCCCTATATAGATGTCTTGGAGGCAATTGTGAGGCCTCTCGAACCGTTTGGGAGCCCCTAGGGGGCTCTCATGTGGGTCCTCGAAGATCTCTTGGGCCGGGTAAGGCGCGTCTTCGGTCGTCTTGGGTCGTCTTGCGCTCTTCTTGGTCCACCTTGGGGTCATCTTGGGCCGTCTTGGGTCTTGGGCCCCTCTGGGGCCCCTCTTGGGGCCCTCCTGGGCCATCTTGGGCCGCCGAAAGGCCGTCCTGGGTGGTCTCGGGACCTTTTGGCAAGCTCTGGGAACACCTTGGGAATCTCGGGAACCTCCCCGGTGCCCTCCAAAGCCGTTTCGGGCTCCCCAAGGCGATCGGGAAACCAGGGGTCCCTACAAACCCGCAAAGCGCCTTTCGGAAGTAAGTAAGTCTGTCTGTCTGTCTGTCTGTCTGTATGCATGCATGCATGCATGCATGCATGCATGCATGCATGTGTATGTATGCATACATGCATGCGTGGATGCGTGTATGCATATGAGTACGTATGTGTACGAAGGTATGCATGGATGCATGCATGCCTGTATGTGTATATATAAATATATGTTTGTACGCATGTGTGTACGCATGTAGGTATATATGTGTGTGTGTATGAATGTATGTATGTCTGTATGAATGTATGCCTGCATGTATGTATGTATGTATGTATGTATGTATGTATGTATGTATGAAGGTATGTATGTGTGTATGTAGGTGTGCCTGTATGTGTGTGTATGTGTATGTATGTGGATAGGTGTATGCATGTATGTGTGCATGCACGCATGCATGTTTGTATGCATGTGGTCCTGGATGCATGTATGTATGTACATATGTATGTATGTACGTATGTCTGCATGTATGTACGTATGAATGTATGTATGCTGTCACGACTGCATGTATGTGTGTAGTTATGTACGTGTGTACGTATTTATGTATGTATGTATGCATGTATGTATGTATGTATGGATGTATGTATGTATGCATGTATGTATGTATGTATGTATGTATGTGTGTATGGATACATGTAAACATGTGTGTACATGTATGTATACATGTAGGTATATAGGTATGCATGTATGACTGTATGCATGCATGTGTGTATGCATATATATATATGTATGTATGTACATGTGTGTGCATGCATGCATGCATGCATGTATGGATGAGTGGTTGTGCATGTATGTGTGTATGTATGTTTATGCACGTGTATGAAAATGTATGCGCATGTGTGCATGCATGTATACTTGGATGCACATGGATATGTATGTGTATGCAACTGTCTGTATGTATGCATGCATGCATGTATGGATGCACACAGGTATGCATGCATGTATGTAGTGATGTATGCAGGTGTGCATGTATGCATGTATGCATGCATGTATGTGTGTATGGATATGTGTTTGTGTGTATACATGCATGTATTTGCGTGAGTGCGTTCGTGTTTGAACAAGATCGAGCATCAAAGAACGGTCAACTAGCCCAGATGGGCCAACCGGCTACTCTCCGAACTCAGGTCGGCACCACGGGGGCACCGAAGCACGTTGGCCCTCCGCGGGCCAAAGGCAGACGCGTCGTGTGCTGGCCACAGAGAAGTGTATTCGGTAAAACGTCAACTTAACACCGACACCTAATCTGCCCAAGCTGAGCGTCGCTTCACCGATCCATATCCCAACTCACGTGGCCTGGGCCCCATTGGCCGATTAACCCCCCTAGATGGGGATATAGGCAGTTTCTGTCAGATTTCGAAGGGTATATCCCCAACTGGGGGGATGAGATGGTGGGAGTCTGAATGGGGACGGGGATGGGGATGGGGATCGGCTAAACGATACTGACACGTACAAGTTTAGCTGGCCAGGCCAGCGGAATCGACGCTGATCCTTGGTCCAAAAGGGCCGGGCTCAGCCGGCGTCCTGCGCGTACTGGGCCAAGGGGGGGCGACGGGGACGATCCCTGAAGGGCCAGACCCAGGGGCGAGCATCGTTGAGCCGATCCCCAGCGGCCCCCTAGATGGGGATATAGGCCGCGCATCCCCGACTGGGGGGCAATTTGGTGGGAGTCTCGAAGGGGATGGGGATGGGGATGGAGGTCGGTGACACGATACTGAAGGGGGAGGGCGAGAGGGCCAACATGCGGATGGAACGATACATTTGGACACCTGAAACGGGTACGGAAAATCTTGGTACAATGCCCAACTGCAAATGCTGTCCCAAACCGACGGCGGCCGCCGTTGAGCAGGCGGCCTGCTGCCTTCAGAGAGTGACATCCGCGGCGGCGCGAACGGCGAGTCAGGAACTGCTGTTGGGCATCGTACGGCAGGTTCGTGTCGTGTCGACCCCAGCGTTGGTTCCCGACACCGCGCTGGATCGTTCAACCTTGAACGATCGGCCGTCTCCGCAACGTCCGATCGTTCAACATCGACCGATTCTGGGCCGCCGCCGGCGTTCAACCTTGAACGTCGGCGGCGGGGTCGCCGCCGGTCGATACGACGCGAACCTACCGTACCCATTCTTTCCGAATCCACTTCGATCGTCCAGGATTTCGACCCCCCGCCTCCCGTCGGCCGCGCGCCCCGCCGGCGCCGCCCGAGGCGGCCTCTGGCAGTGCGCGCTCGGGGGCGCCTGCCCGGCTCTGCCGGGCCTTGGCCCCCGCGGACTTTGCATCCTCCTCCTCCTCCTCCTCCTCCTTCACCTCCTCCTCCTCCTCCTCCCCCTCCTCCTCCTCCTCCTCCTCCTCCTCGTCCCTCCTCCTCCTCGTCCCTCCTCCTCCTCCTCCTCCTCCTCCTCCTCCTCCTCGTCCCTCCCCCTCGCCCTCGGCCGATGACCTGGCCCGAACACGGCCGAGAGCACCACTCGGCGTCAGGCGAGCGGCTGGCTCCAGACGGGAGCCCCTCCGCCTTCGACCTCCCGCCGGGCCCCTGCGGGCACCCGTCGGGGCCCGGCCGCACCGCCGGACCCCACTCGAGGAGGAGGAGGCGGAGGAGGAGGCGGAGGAGGAGGAGGAGGAAGAAGAGGAGGACAGAGAGAGGGAGAGGGAGAGAGGATGGGAGGGAAAGAGAGAAAAACAGAAACAACAACTCTCTCGGGGGCGCGCAGACATGGACTAGCGATCCATGGCTCTGGCGCGCGGCCGCCAAATCCATGGATCGGGGGAGGCGCCCTCCCCAATTATGCGGCCGGTGCCGCCTCGCTCGGCGGCGGAACTCCGCGATTTCCCAAGGAAACGGGGCCCGTCGCTACTCCACGCCCCGCTGATCCATGTTTGCAATCGCCTGAGGATGGAGGGCTGGAGGGAAACGGGGAGCGAGGGCGAGGGAGGGAGAGAAATGGGGAAACCAAAAGGTACCGATACCGCTACTCCCCAGACCTCTCCTGGGGTGCGTTCTGACCAGAATTTCGAGGCGAATTCCGCGGTGGCGACGAGAGCCTCCCAAAAGCCTCCCAGGAGGCCCCCACGGTTCTGCATGGTTGCCATCGCCGCACACTCGGACTCTGCCCCGCCCAGCCCAGCGCAACCCTCCGCGCCCCCGCGCGACCCGCCGCCTGGCCGCGCGCAGCGGCCGACCAGCGCCGCGCGCGTCGAGAGCGCGCCACAGCAGCGAGGGGCAACGATAGGGGGGGGGGGTCTGGCACAGGGGGGGGGGAAGCATCGACCTGGCAAGGGGCCCAAGGACACACACATAAATACACACAAATAAAATGAATGATCCCCATATTTTCCTATATTTTCTGGGTTTTTGTCTTCCCCCCCACTTCCCATATTTCGGGAGCGGCCAAGAGGGGGGTGTCCAAGAGGGGGGGGTGCAAATCATGACCGGCGGCATGTGCGCGGCCCAGCGGGGGGGGCCAGGGACGTAATAAGATAAGAAGAGGCGCCATGAAATCTGAGGAAAAATCATGGCCCGCGCCATGAAATCCCCCCCCCCTTGTCATCACCCCCCTCTTTTTTTGCTCCCGAATATCTTCCCATCTTTTCCTGGGAGTCGACGATGAATTGTGTCTGTGTGTTTTTTTCCCTCCTCAACCTTCGGGGAGACGTAAGACCCGGGTACGGGGGACTCGGAAATCCCCGACGAGGTCGTCAAAAAAATGACGAGGCCGAGCCTGCATTTTGACGAGGCCTCCCGCTGCAGACATCCCACAAAACTCCTCCTCGTCAAAATCCGATGGCGAACCCGAGTCGCGGTCGTCAAAAAACGATGGCGAACCCGAGTCCTGGCAAACCCGGGTCTTACGCTCCCCCGAAACCTGGAGCCGGCGATACATGGCCGATAGATCGGCGATGGGCCCCCGGTAGCAGACCCGCACGCTCCCAGGGCGGGGTGGGGCGGTCGGGCCCCTGTCGCCGACTAGTGGGCGGGAGGGAGGAGGAGGAGGAGGAGGAGGAGGAGGAGAGGAGGAGACTGGGGGGTCGATGCGTCCCCCCTGTGCCTCCTGTTCCCCCCGATCGCTGCCCCTGAATCGGGCGTTGGCTGAACTGGGTTTAGTGGAACCTGGTTTGGTGATCTGCACCGGGGGCGCCCCCCCCGTCCCAGTTCCACGAACCGGAGCTGCCGTCACCCGAAAGACACCAGCTACGGCAGACCTGGTTCAGTGATTCTGGCCAATTCAAGGGCCCCGGGGCCCTACCACTAACCGGGTCCCCTTACCCGACTGCAACAGGGTGGCGACAACCCAGGCGCCCTGCCGCTGCCGCGGGGTGGGCCCCAGCTCGGACTGCGCAGGGAGTGCCCCAGACAATGCACGGTCTCCCCCCCGGGGCCGCCGGCGACCCGAGGAGGAGGAGGAGGAGGAGGAGGAGTAGGAGGAGGAGGAGAAGGAGGAAGATGAGGAGGAGGAGGAGGTGAAGGAGGGAGAGGAGGAGGAGAAGAACGGAGGAGGAGGAGGAGGAGGAGGAGGAGGCGGAGGAGGAGGAGGAGGAGGAGGAGGAGAGGGGGAGGAGGAGATGGAGGCACAGGAGGAGGGGGGGGGGGGAGGAGATAGAGAAGGAGGAGGAGGAGGAGGAGGAGAGGAAGGAGGAGGAGGATGAGGAGGAGGAGGAGGAGGAGGAGGAGGAGGAGGAGGAGGAATAGGAGGAGGAGGAGGAAGAGCAGGAGGAGGAGGAGGAGGAGGAGCAGGAGGAGGAGGACGGGTCGCCCAAGCCCTTCGGAGTAACCCTCCACCGCGGGGTGGAACCCAGCCCAGACTGCGCAGGGAGCGCCCCAGACTCCCGACGCCTTGACTTTCTCAATCTGGGGCCCCTGGAGGTGTCTGCCCTTTCTCGGCGGCGAGCGAGAGGGGGGGCAGTGAGGAGGGGCCTTCTCAGAGCGCGGCGGGGCTTCTCAGAAGCCCTCCGCCCTTCTGAGAAGTGTTCTGCGTCTTCGTAAGGGGAACGAGGGATGACGTAAACATAAAAACTCGGAGGTCCGCGCGGATTTTTCGGATCGTCGCTGAGGCCCCCTGGCGGCGCCTCCGGCGCCGCTTCCCCGGAGGCGCAGAACACGTCTCAGAAGGCTGGCGGGCATCTGAGAAGCCTCGCCGCCTCCTGAGAAGGCCCCCTCCTCTTAAGTCGGGCCTGTCCCCCTACAGGGGGGTTTTGGACGAACAATGAAACATACCCCCCAAAATACACCCAAAATGGTCAAAGAATATTCCATAAATCGTCCCCAGACTATATTTTTTACTATTTTCGGATATTCCCCCTGTAGAGGGACAGGCCCGACCTAACCCTCCTCACTTCCCCACCTCGCTCGCCGCCAAAAAGAAGGGGAGAGGGAGAGCGAGAGAGGGAGAGAAGGAAGGGCGCCCGATCGAGCGGGCCTGCTCCACCCGCCACCGCGACAGGCCGCGGTCCACCTCGATGAGGGAGCGCTGCAGCTGCGTGCGGCCCTCGAGGTTCCTGCAGGGGCCGCGTCAGACGCAAGGGAAGGACAGCAAGACGAAGACTTCACAGATTTTGAGCAGGGACCGACCGTCCCGGCATTCCCGTAGGCCTACCACGGAGTGTTCTGAGAACCCAAATGTGTTCTAAGAACAAAAACCATGCTCTCAGGACATATCCACGATGCGTTGGAACAAGACAGTCCCAGCCAGAAATGTTCTAAGAACATGTCGTGGAAACCACAAGAGGCTCTTAGGACATGGTTTGCTAGGCCCAGAGGCACGCAAGGACGCTTCGCCACTGCTTGAAGACTCGCCCACGTGGCTGGCCCCCCTCAGCGCCCAGTGTGTGCCGAGGAAGAGGCGCCCGACGGCGGGGGCCGAAGACCAGCTGCAAGCAGCAGACAGTGTAATTACAAGGCAGTTTCTAATCCATAGGAGTTCATAACATATAGGATTTTAATACATGACTAATTTACTAATAAACCAATGCATCAATTCATCATTGTTTTTAATATTCAACCCCTTTTAATCTTAATACATGATCCGCACGCGGAGCATGTATTGAAAACGGCACTGTAATTACCCCCGCTCTCCCTGCCCCTCTTCCCGAACCATTGATTCCCATTGGTTTTTGAATGATTTGGGCATTCTCGCCTCTTCGGCTTCCCGTAGCTCCCAGACAGCCCGCAGAGGCCCCCAAGACCGCCCCAAGACGGCCCAAGAGACCTCCAGGAGGACCAGAACACTACCCGAGAGAGCTCCAAGACGGCCCAAGAGGCGCCCAAAACGGCAGGTTCGTGCCGTGCCGACCCCGGCGTTGGTTCCTGACACCGCGGGGATCGTTCCACCGTGCTCAGACCCGAGGTGGGGGGAGGAGGTCATTACCGCAGGCTCGCGTCGTGCCGATCCCGCCGTGGGTTCCTGAGACCGCGGGGATCGTGCCACCTTGAACAATCGGCCGCTTCAGAAACGCCGCATCTGAAGGGGCTCCAGGACACACAAATAAATACACACAAATAAAACTATTCCCCATATTTTCCCATATTTTCTGGGTTTCTGTCTTCCCCCCCACTTCCCATATTTTCCCATATTTTCTGGAAAATCGAGGATTAATTGTGCCTGTGTGTTTTTTCCTCTCCTGAGCATCGTCCCACGATGGGCCGAGTCTGGGCCACGGGCGGCGTGTGACTCTTTGTAATCTTTCCCGGGTAACGGTCGTTACTTGGGGGGCGGGGGGGGGGTCGGGCTGGAAAGTAACAGTAACGGCTGCCGCGGCGTGCACCCCGCAGAGTGCGTCCGCGCCGCCGGCGCATCAATCGCCTGTGTGCACCACAGCATGCAGGGGGGGGGTCCAGGCCCCCCCCAACCCCAGCACCATCGCCAACGTTACCCCGGGGGTTGGGGGTGCACGGTTTCCCCCGGGGCCGTGGGCGACCCGAGGAGGAGGTGGACAAGGCGGAGGAGGAGGAGGAGGAGGAGGAGGAGGAATAGGAGGAGGAGGAGGAGGAGGAGGAAGAGCAGGAGGAGGAGGAGGAGGAGGAGGAGGAGGAGGAGGAGGACGGGCCGCCCGAGCCCTTCGGAGAAACTCTCCAGTTGGGGGGGGGGGGGATTGGCCTGGGCAACGAGCGCCACCCTGGGGAGGGGAGAACAGCAACGGTCGCCGCTCCACCCGAGACGCCCGCGCTGGGGCCTCCGCCGGCCGACGCGCGGCGAGTCCGCAGCGGTGCGGCCGGCGGCCCGCCACGCCGCGAGGCCTCCAGGGGTCCGGGGCGCCGCGGTGCCCGTGCGCCTGCCGCAGCAGAGGCTCGGCCACAGGGAACCTTCCACGAGAAGCCCAACCCTGAGCTCCCAGGACGCCCGCCGATTTCTGTTGTGGGAGCGTCACGCTTTCCATCAAGAAGCCCAAGAGACTCAGCTCCCCCTGGGGGCAGGCAGGGTGCTTCTCTTGGCATGGGTTTCCGCTGCATGCGTTCCTATGTGGGTGATGCGCATGCGCCTGCCGTGTGCGACCAGTCCCGGGGGCTCCACGTCTCCTTGGGCGGCTTGCTGAGGGGCAACGCTCGGGGGGAAACATCGACCGGCAGGGCTGAACCTAAACGGTGTTTTCCGTTTTCGTTTTGCTTTCGCTTTCCCTCGCGTTTGTCTTCCATCCGCCTCTGCCGCAAAACGAAGTCGAAACGAAAACGGCCCACGAGATAGCCAAACACTGTTTAGGTCCAGCCCTGCGGTTCAGTGGGTCGGCGATGCATCGCCAGCGTGCGTCGTGGCCGCCTCGGGGCCGCTCCTCCCGCCGCTCTCCGCTTCCCGGCGCCCAGGGCGGAGGAGGAGCAGGAGGAGGAGGAGGAGGAGGAGGAGGAGGAGGAGGAGGAGAGGAGGCGGAGGAGGAGGAGGAGGAGGAGGATGAGGAGGAGGAGGAGGAGGAGGGAGGAGGAGGAGGAGGAGGAGGCGGCGGAGGAGAAGCGGCGAGCGTGCGTCGGCGATGCGTCGCCAGCAGGTCGGCGACAGGCCTCCGATGCCGAACCCGCGCGGTCCTGGGTCCTGGGCGGGGTGGGGTGGGCGATCGGGCCCCACATCGGCGATCCATCGGCGACTCCTCCTCCTCCCTCCTCCTCCCTCCTCCTCCTCCTCCTCCTCCTCCTCCTCCTCCTCCTCCTCTCCTCCTCCCCCTCCTCCTCCTCCTCCTCCCCCCGCGCGGCCCCCGACCCGGGAAGCCCCCACGAGGCCAAGCCCTGGCCGGCGTCAAGACGGCATCGGCTCCAAGGCAGCAGTGCCCCCAGCCCCGACCGCCCCAGTACCCTCCACGCTGGGCCACCATCCCCCTCGAGCCCCCCCCCGCGCACTCGCACCAGAAATGGAGCAGGGAGGTCTCCGGTGCACCTGCCCGGGAGAAGGCGGGCTGCTTGGAAGATCGCAGAGGTCCCTGCTCTGAACAGATCCGTCTCCGTCATCCTCAGGTCATGATTTTGGGGTTTGCTGGATCATGTGGAACTACAGATCCGTCAATCATAGTCCTGTCTCTCTTCTGACACTCTGTAAAAAAACGTATGCGATCGTGGTCTCCACCACACACACACACGCACGCACGCACGCACGCGACCCCCCCCCACCACACACACGCACGCACGCACGCACGCACGCACGCACGCACGCACGCACGCGCGCACACGCGCAAACGCGCACACGCGCACACGCACACACGCACACACGCACACACGCACACACGCAACCACTCACACACGCACACACGCACACACGCACACACGCACACACGCACACACGCACACACGCACACACGCACACACGCACACACACGCACACACACACACACACGCACACACACACACACGCACACACACGCACACACACGCACACACACGCACACACACGCACACACACACGCACACACACGCACACACACGCACACACACGCGCACACACGCACACACGCACACGCGCACACGCGCACACGCGCACACGCGCACACGCGCACACGCGCACACGCACACGCACACGCACACGCACACGCATACGCACACGCACACACGCACACACACACACACACACGCAGATGACGTAGACGCACACACGCAGATGACGTAGACGCAAGCCCGATCGAATCTCGTCTTCACGCAAATGCAGCAACGTACACATCAAATGCGATGTGTTTAGAGTGCGCTTGTGGGCACCCATGGTGCCGAACGAGACTAATCTAACTCGCCATGCTGTGTAGAAGAAGCGTCCACATTCGCAACCATGGAACAAAAATGTCTGATTGATCATGTACCATATTGGAAGATCGGGGCAACGTTGCTTGCATAACTTTCAATTGGGACTACCGTTCCATCCTTTCGGTAATCTGCCGCGAAACGGACGCAGGCTGCTAGAGGGCAAGCGGAGTGGACACTGGCGGGTGACTTCCTAACCACCTCGATCTTCCAGTTCTCGCTCGCCTCCTGGCGATCACACTGGCAACGAGAGATGATAGCAACGAACAGAGCCTCGCAATCCACGAACAATACGCGTGGCAGAACTTCGACAGTCATTGCAGTCTACAGGATTGGCCGGAAGCGAACACAGCTGTCTCCCGAAGTATGCAGCGCTGACGAAAAGGAAACAGTTGCAGCCACCATACAAGCTGTCCACACGCGGGCGCGCTGATCATGACACGGTGCTGCAAATCGTCCCCAGGATTGACAACACAATGGCGAAGCTAAGCAAATGGAGCGCGTTTCTTGATTTTCGGCGATGCTGGGCATTACAGGGGGGGGGGGGGCAGGGGGGGGTATAATGTAACGCCTCCACCCCGCCGTGCGCACGGCGGCAGTGCCCTGAACGGGGTTTTCGTTTCGGTTTTCTTTGTTCTTTGTCAAAAAAATGCTCTCGCTGAAGCGCTGGCTTCATTTTCGGGCCACCCTTCGTTCCAAACCGTGCTCCCGTGGCAGCGCTGGCGTCATTTCCGCGCTTCCGCTCGTTCCGAATCGTGCTCACGCGGCAGCGCTGGCGTCATTGTTTCCAGCGCCATGCCATGGCATGGTTGTCGGTCCTTCCGAATCTATTTACGTAGGCGCCACAATCTAGAAAATGGCCTCCGGAACAAGAAACATCGGAAATGATTACACATTCGGTGTCGATTCGTTGATTTCTGGGTCCGCAAAAGCCCTCCCCCACTTGGGGCGTCGCCACGCCATGCTATGTCAGGCTACGCGTCCTCGTTTCCGCGCTTCCGCGCTTGATGCCGCTCTCGCTGAAGCGCTGGCATCATGTTCGGGTTAGCGTTCGTTCCGAATCGTGCTCCCGCTGCAGCCCTGGCCTTATGTTCGCTTCTCCGTTCGTTCCGAATCGTGTTCCCGCTGCAACGCTGGCGGTTTTTTGTTTCCCGTGCCATGCCACGGCATGGTTGTCGGTCCTTCCAAATAGACCCCAAAATATAACTACTCGATAACGCTACGAGTGAATATTCAACACCATAATATACCATGTCATGATGTGCCATGCTGCGACATCCGACTGCGCGAATAGGGAGGAGAGCTAAGCCATGGTAAAAGGGATGGGAGGAAAGGATAAAACGCCAGGTATGACGCGGGCGCACCCAGCTTGCCCTCCTCCCCTCGACCCCCCCGGCCCCAGGGATGGCCCGAGGAGGCCCTCCAAATGTACCCTCCCTGTTCCCCTGCTCCGAGAGATCTCTCTGTTCATCCCAGTTGCCCGCCCTGTTTCGTTGCATGTGTCTCGTAGTCCCTTTTCCCGTCAGCTCTCCTGGACAACGTTTCGAAACGGGCTGGTGGGGATATTTGTTGTCTGCGAGCGCGCAGGGGTTCCAGGCGCCGCCAAGAAACGCGGCTAACAAACAACGGCCTACATTCCGCGGCGCGGGGAGGGAACGACAGCAGCCGGAACACGGGGAAAACGGGGAAGAAGCGAAGAAAGAACATACAGGAGCGAGCCACGCTGCGGCTCAGGAGACGCGGTGGAGCAGGAATAACCACTGGTCGAGGGCTGGTGGGGATACTTTTTGTCGCAGCCGCAGGCGAAGGCGCCAGCGGCGAGTCAGGTCCGAGCGGGCCGCGCAAGAGCCGAATTGCCTAACGCCGACGGGCCGGCGACCTCAGCAGCGCCTCGGCGGGCGGGCCGACGAAAGGGGGGGTGCAAGCTGCAGCTGCCAGGGACCAGGTCCAGGAGCGCGCACATGCAGGATTAGCCAACCAGGGTTGGGGCGCAGCCAAAATGGCGCGAGGGTCGTACCAGGATGTGGCCAGGGAGGCAACCAGCCAGTACACTGCGTCGACTGCCATGGGTGCTTATACTGGCTCGAACTGGTGCATGCTGGTAGGGGTACGCGAAGCGAGAAAAATTGTTGTAGAGCTTGCTTGTGCTGACCCCCCCGTCGCACGCATCGTTAGAAGACCGCCCACCTCTTCGGAAACGAGGTTGGGTAACTTTCCGTGCCAACGTAACTATGAACATCTGTTTTTACAGAAGAGCGAAAGCAAGCTCACCTGCGGGGGGTCAAAACAGATCCGCCAAGGGAGGTCAAAGCCGACCGACCCGAATGGCGCCCAAGAGGCCCCAAAAGGCCCCAAAGAGGCACCCAAGACGCCCCGAACAGGCACCCAAGCGGCCCCTATGAGGTTCCAAGGAAGCACCGAAAACGCCCCAAGAGGCTCTCTATAAAGACTGCCAATAGGCCCCAAGGCGTCCAAAGAGGTCCTCAAGGCGCCCCAAGAGAGGCCCCCAGTAGCTGCCAGGAGACCCCAAAGACGCCCCACGAGGCCTGCAAGAGACCCCGAGAGACATCGCAATATATTAAGAGAGACATCCAAAAAGCCTCTGGCCCACGGAGGCGCCCTGAGCTACCCACATGATGCCACGCACCCCCGCGGTGAGCAGCTCTCGGCGGCGAGCCCCGGGGGGGAAGTGAGAAGGGGCGGGCCTCCTCAGAAGGCTCGGAAGTCCCCCGGCCTTGGGGGAAATTTCGGAAGCCTCCCCCGAAGACACAAAAGACTTCTCAGAAGCTTCCCAGAGACCGAAGCCTTCCCCGAAGACCGAGAAGTCTTCTGAGAAGCTTCCCCGAAGGCGCAATGAAGCTCCTCAGAGGGCGCGAGGAAGCTTCCGAGCAGTCCCGCCGCCATCTGAGAAGGCGACCGGCCACAACTGGGGGAGCTGTGGTACTTACGACCCTGGGGGAACCCATCGCATCGACGATCTCTCGAGAGGGGTGTCGAAATCGATGGGTCCCACAAGGGGGTAAGGAGTAAGGACCACAGCTCCCCCAGTTGTGGCTGGCCTGGAGAAGGCCTGCTCCTTTTCTCACTTGCCCCCCCCTCGCTCGCCGCGGAAGCTCCCCTGGGCCTCGGCCTTGGACGGGCCTCGCTCATTTTTTTCCCAACCATCCTGTGGTGTTGGGTCCTCGTTTTGAAGAGACGTCGCCCCGCGTTCCTCCTTCCTCCTCCTTCCTCCTCCCTACTCCTCCCCTTCCTCCCCCCTCCTCCCCCTCCCACACCCATTCTGGCACACCCCTCACGTTTCGTGGCCCCATAGGGAGCTCCACCGAAGGCCCCAGTGGCTGCGCCCGCATGCGGTTCCACCCCCCATTCTGGCACACCCCTCACACGTTTCGTGGCCCCATAGGGAGCTCCACCGAAGGCCCCAGTGGCTGCGCCCGCATGCGGTTCCACCCCCCATTCTGGCACACCCCTCACACGTTTCGTGGCCCCATAGGGAGCTCCACCGAAGGCCCCAGTGGCTGCGCCCGCATGCGGTTCCACCCCCCATTCTGGCACACCCCTCACACGTTTCGTGGCCCCATAGGGAGCTCCACCGAAGGCCCCAGTGGCTGCGCCCGCATGCGGTTCCACCCCCCATTCTGGCACACCCCTCACACGTTTCGTGGCCCCATAGGGAGCTCCACCGAAGGCCCCAGTGGCTGCGCCCGCATGCGGTTCCACCCCCCATTCTGGCACACCCCTCACACGTTTCGTGGCCCCATAGGGAGCTCCACCGAAGGCCCCAGTGGCTGCGCCCGCATGCGGTTCCACCCCCCATTCTGGCACACCCCTCACACGTTTCGTGGCCCCATAGGGAGCTCCACCGAAGGCCCCAGTGGCTGCGCCCGCATGCGGTTCCACCCCCCATTCTGGCACACCCCTCACACGTTTCGTGGCCCCATAGGGAGCTCCACCGAAGGCCCCAGTGGCTGCGCCCGCATGCGGTTCCACCCCCCATTCTGGCACACGCCCCATAGGGAGCTCCACCGAAGGCCCCAGTGGCTGCGCCCGCATGCGGTTCACACCCCTCACACGTTTCGTGGCCCCATAGGGAGCTCCACCGAAGGCCCCAGTGGCTGCGCCCGCATGCGGTTCCACCCCCCATTCTGGCACACCCCTCACACGTTTCGTGGCCCCATAGGGAGCTCCACCGAAGGCCCCAGTGGCTGCGCCCGCATGCGGTTCCACCCCCCATTCTGGCACACCCCTCACACGTTTCGTGGCCCCATAGGGAGCTCCACCGAAGGCCCCAGTGGCTGCGCCCGCATGCGGTTCCACCCCCATTTCGGCACACCCCTCACACGCTTCGTGGGTGGCTCCATGGGGAGCTCCACCGAACGCCCCAGTGGCTGCGCTCGCATGTGGTTCCCCCCCCATTTCGGCACACCCCTCACACGGTTCGTGGCCCCATAGAGAGCTCCACCGAAGGCCCCAGTGGCTGCGCTCGCATGCGGTTCCACCCCCTTTTTCGGCACGCCCTTCACACGTCTCGTGGCCCCATAGGGAGCTCCACCGAACGCCGCAGTGGCTGCGCTCGCATGCGGTTCCACCCCCCATTTCGGCACACCCCTCACACGCTTCGTGGCTCCATAGGGAGCTCCACCGAAGGCCCCAGTGGCTGCGCTGGCATGCGGTTCCACCCCCCATTCTGGCACACCCCTCGCACGTTTCGTGGCCCCATAGGGGGCTCCACCAAAGGTCCCAGTGGCACTGCCCGCTTGCGTCCGCCACCACCCAGCACAGCCCTTGTTCCCTGCGCGTCACCCACCCCAAACAGCGCTTCGTAGCCCTATAGGGAGCTCCACCGAAGGTCCCAGTGGCACCGCTCGCATGCGTCCGCCACCACGCAGCACAGCCCTTGCTGACCGCGTCTCACCCACCCAGTACAGCGTTTCGTGGCCCCATAGGGAGCTCCACCGAAGGTCCCAGTGGCACCGCCCGCATGCGTCCGCCACCACCCAGCACAATTGCGGCATTCACAACTGCACATGGTTGGGTCCTTCGCCAGGCTAATTTGGTGATAAACGAGTGCGCGCGCACAATAGATGCTGCAGCCCTCGGCGCGAGCGGTTCGCAAGCGACGCGGCACAGAAGAGAGACTACGCACGCGCTGATGGACGGGCCTCGCTCTTGGGAAGTCCGCCTGCCCAGCGCTCACACCGCGCAGCTTCGCGCCAAGGTGCGCAGGC